TGAACTTCAACTTCAACTTTATGATTTAAGGGGGTAAAACTCTGAAAAAACAGCGGCGCTGCCTCGTTGGAGAGCATTACAAGAAAATCTGGTTAATCAACCAAGTTTATATATGTAAATTGGCAACCAAAAAGATTGTAAAAGTCCTACGTAATTTGGTTTGCCGTCTGCACGCCACGCCACTTACCAAATCATCTGTTTCCTTCTGGCCATAACTACTCTACAAATCACCGATAATGCAGAAGCAATGTGCAATCTTTTTAAAATTAATTAAGACTCAACTCCAGCTCACATAACTCTGCAGTTACTTGGTTTCTTTCTTGACGCCGTTTTCAAATACCTCACAGATAAGTTAGCCATACATAACTGAAGTAACACTAGACTACCACAAGAGCATTTGATAATTGATGGATCACCCTAAAATAAAATATATCAGATCTTACGTGTGGAAAGCCAATTCATTTTAAAGTGGAATATGCTTGGATTGATGATAACAGTTGCTTGAAACACACACAAAAAATATTTGGAGCAATAATAAAGAATAAAGTACAGCATGATATTTTTCCAACATATACTACGCCAAGTGAAAAGAAAGCCACGCAAATCTGACATTCAACTCGCTCACAACCTGTTTGAACAGTTTGTGAAACAGGTTAACAGGTTATTCTTAATTGAAATTAAGAACAATTTCTACCGGGGATTTTCAGCCTCATTAGACAAAGCTGTTCAGAATGATAGAGGCCTGGACTCTTAATTGCAAGCCTGATCTGGTGGATTTAGTGAGATCCTGGGTCATATTCTCATTCTTGTCCTCCTTATGTTTGGTCATGGCTGGCAAACCAAGAGACTGACAGACTATTCAAAGTGGCACTGACCCTTTTCATAATTATCATCTGACTGACTTTATGACTTAATAGGATACCAGGATTGTATCACCTTGTGAGATGTTATTGCTTGAGCAGATTGTATGTCGTCAGTGGGACACAAATGCAATTATTTATTTTTAATGACAGGGAATACAACTCCATAATACAGGATACAAAGCAAGTAACTGTTCCTCATTTAGCAACACATTGTTTATCTTCAAGATGTACTTCATTCTACATCATCTATCTTCCTTTCAGGGAATGCTGCCCATTACTTGAAACCTTTTCTAGCCTTTCAAAGTGCTTTCTTGCATTGCGAATGTTAATCTGTGTGGCAGCAGATGCTGTAAGAAACAAAAATTGGCACAAAGCATATGTTGAAAATTCACTTGCTAAAGAATCAATCTCACATTTCTCTGGAATCTGAAAATGCAGATAGCTATGTTTAATAAAAAGATTTTAAGATTTGTTTCTATAATGTACAAAGCTATTTTACAACCTGTTTGTCAGTTGAATGCTGCAAGTCAAGTTGGTTAATGTCAACCAAAAGCTAATTTTTTTTTTTACCCTTTAGATGTTAAGGGGAGTTTGAAGTATAAAAGGTAGAACCATTCTCCAATGATGTGCTTATTGGAGAAAGTTTGCCGTAAATATACTTACGGATTGTGCAGTCAGACATGATAACCATCACATATGTGTTGGGTGTAAAGACATCAATAAATGCAGCAAATGTAGAATTTCGCACCTCCATGCTCTGAAAATGGGCATGTAGTTTACTATGGACAAAAATAAGATTGGAAAGTCAAGATCAGTTATCCATGTAAGACAATACAGGGGTTTCAAGCACTGAAATCTGGACTATGAACTCAGTAGTGATGCAATGAAGAAACCAAGTTCATCAAAGTGCACACCTGAACCTTCTGCAACAAAACTCAACTCACCTACAGCTTAATTTGAACTGTTTGATAATGTTACTAATTTTTTCAAATCTGTGTACATCCTTATGGGACTTGCGTTGACAGTAGGAAATAACCTGAAAAATTAACAACAAGTGTCATTCACATGTGGTTCACAGAGGTGACAATTACAACAACAAAATTAACAAATCAACAGTGGTTTCACATGGTTTGCACTCTTATCATATCACATCTGGATCATGAGGCTATTGTTTGAGATGTAGCCCTGTCTTTGTGTTGTTTACTATGATAAGGTAAAGATAGGTAAAGTCTGTTTACGAGCCAACTGGCCCATCAGGCTGGTGCTTAACTCCAGTTTCTGTACCATGAAGTGACTAGGAGTATTTCTTCTCCTCACTGGATGGGGTGCTAGTCTATTGCAGGATTACCCCCAGTATTAAATTAACCAGTACCCATTTAAACGCCTGGGTGGAGAGAGAGGCACTGGGAGAGAAATGTTTCTTGCCTGAGAACACAACACAATGTCCCCAGCCAGGGCTCGAACCTTGATCCAGACTTAAAGTGCACTACCCATGAGGCCACTACACCTTCCACTTACTATGATAAGAACCTATCAGAGTGTCCAGTACAGCCTGTGGTGCAAAAAGCTATTGATGGACTAATGATGAAAAGATTTGTAACAAATAACTGACATTAACTATTATGGATAAGCAGCTCATTTTAATAAAAACTACAATGTAAGTATTTACTATTTTAGGGTAAGCTCAAGCAGGATCAGGCCTCGAACCTTTCACCCTTTACTTTCTAACATCAGTGTGCATAGCCTCCTTTATTCAAATACCTACAAGAAATGTGGCCCTCTCAAACAAAAGTACTTCATCTGCTTCAATGATGGAAGCAAAGTTCTCCAGATTGTGTTCCAGCTGTGTTACATTAGGTATCAGCTGATAGACGATGGATGACCAAGCCTTGTAGAGAGTTTCATCCCAAATTGATGTGCGGAAACATGTACATTCCAGTGGCTTTGAGAGCCTTTTTAGGTCTTCTTCCCGGTCTCTGAAAATCTGAAAAAAATAATTGTATCTTTTGGAGACAATTTCAAAATCCAACCTGTATCTTAAAAAAAAAAAAAAAAATTATAATAATAATAATAATTTGTATAGCACAAATTCCATACAATGTTCAAATGCGCTTCACAATAAAATAACACAGTAATAATTAATACAACTATTAAAATAAAATAAAATAAATACTAGAACTACATACAAATATTAATGTTATACTAATACTGCTATAATATCGTGTTCAGGCTACGATAAAAATGCTAAATGAAAAAGGTGTGTTTTTAACTTTGACTTAAAAATATCCAATGACTTAGAGTTTCTAACTTCGAATGGTAATGCATTCCAGAGTTTAGGTGCTGCGCAAGTAAACGACCTGTCACCAATTGTCACTTTAGATTTGAATCTGGGTTGCTTAAGCAAGAGGGTGTCACAAGAGCTTCTCATGTTAAGGGGGGGGGAGGGGGGATTAAGTTTCTACATAAATTGTTGTGCTGTGTCAGTAAGGGTAACGAGGTAATTTGTTTTGAGCATTAGCCCTTTGTCCATCGCTCTGATGAAGGGCTAATGCTCGGAACATCAGCTTTTAAAGCTGTTACACACTGGCCAATTAACATTAACAGCTCAGTTAATAAAACCAAATTACCTTGTATCTTAAAAAGCTCTCTACAGGGTATTGCTAGGCAAATGTAAGGTTTTCAATCTTTCCCATGTTTTTTTATTTTAAACAGTCAACTCAAACATTCCCTCTTAAAATGTGAAGTCACTGTCACTTTTGCAAAGTTACTAGGCTGCAAATCTACTCACTGCATCTCTCTGATCTTCTTGCACCAAATCCATTTTGTGAATTAGGCAAAATATTTTGGCATCAGGCGAATTCTGGAGAATGGCCTCCAGACAAGTCTGGTAATAGTGCATATCTTTCTCTAGTTCACGACTTTCCACATCAAACACATAGATCAGCACTTCAACATTTCTAAAAATGTTGTCCCTCTGACTTGTGAAATAGTTCTCCATAAATGCCTCTTGTCTGGAAATTAACCCAGAACAAAAATTAATCACTATTATTGCATTTTATGAAGATTTAACAAAAGCAGATATAAAAGGCTGCCTCGAATTGATGACAGGCAAAAATTCATCTCATCTCCCTGATCCTTGATGTACTTTCTTGTGATGGATATACTTTCTGAAAATATAAGCTGCTAGTCTAGGCTGGTTTATAAAATAAGCGACATAATTGATTGGTGAAAAACCCTCTTTTTATTCCAGTGGTAAGCCCATAGAAAATTGAGAGATCTTTAAGTTTATTTAAAAAAAAGCAATCGTTCATACTTTCTATCAATTAACTGGCATAATAACAAACTTGGGATGTTAAGAGAACACTCAAAATGTTTTTAAATCACTAACCTCTGGCTTGTGATTTACAAACTTTTTCATGTTATCCCAACATCCTGCATAGGTTACTACACCAGTAAATCAAGAGAAAGTGCATTATATTGTTTAACTAGAAAGTGTTGATTAGAGATACCAAATCAACTTCAAAGAGTCGTGACTTAAATGGATACTCCAAAATGAGTTTCTGAGTAAGACCTGGGACTGAAGAACTTATTTGTCAGTAAATGACTTCCCAACCTTTTACAATCTTTGTCCTCACCTAAAATCGTGACTTTTGTATCTGATCCATAGAAAAACAGTAGTTCAGAAATAAAACGGAAATAATAGGTTCCAGTCCTCACTTGGAAACCTGATTTTGGAGTATCCATTTAGGTCATGACCGATAAACAATAGTTGCTTGTATCAGCCAATTGGCCGATTATTAATTACAGTCAAAACAATATTTCTTATTAGCTCATTTAGTACACTAAAAAAATACAAATACCTGTCAAAATATTTTACAATTCAAAACAAGTACATAGAAAAAGGACAGTAAGCTTATTTATCTAATTACCCTCCACAATCCCAGAGATTGAGGACCAAATTTCCAAGAAATCGTACATGAGAATGCTCCACGTCAACTGAAAATAGAAAAAGCAGTTGTTAAGTGAGAAGAAAAATTGAATTTACACTCAAGAATGGAATGTAAAGAGGTCTCTTTAAGTTTAAACGCGCGTGGGAAAAATTCTGCAGTGATGTTAATCATAAACGATAAAGATTAAAAGCTTCAAAGTGTGGGTACATAAAAAGATTCATTGTTAACAATAGTTTGTTAATTAAATAATTTGGTTGTAAAGAGTAATTACAATTGGCCACATAATGAGTTTTTTTAAACCTGACGTTTCGAGCGTTAATCATTCCTCAGAGCGAAAGATAAAATACTTACTTGTCGCTCCAAGTCTTCTTGTGTCTCTTGCGATGTAGTTTGCAAATATTATCGACCTCATGCTCGTTTTTCCAGAGCCACTTTTACCCATAAGAAGAACCTTCAAGAAAAATTCGCAAGATAAAACATGTACGATGATAGGACACAAACTTTTCCCCTAAGTCGTATATAAAGGTGCAATTATCTAATAAGAAAAATGAAAAATATCTGAAAATACCTTCTTCTTCATCTTGACGTTCTTTTCCATTAGTTCTAATCAAAAAAATCTTAACGCAACTACGGACCTTTCCTTGCTACAAGCGATCTGCATAAATCCTCGCGAGGATGTCATGTGAGGATGTAAAAACAATCGCAATATAACAGCGTCAGCGGTAAATGCGTGGGCATCAAACTTAGTCATGTATGTAAAAGTGAGTTTTGCCCTAAACGCAAGGAGACTGGTACTGATCACCATTCAAAACAAAGATGGCAGCGGATATACATGCAATGGACTGGATGATGAAGTTGCAGTGAATTTTAACGTTTGTTTGGAAAATGGGAAAAAGTGAAGTCGAAAAACCACCTGGTGCACCCAAAACCAAGAAAGAAAAAATATATTCTCCAACAAAGGTACTGTGGTAGAAATACTTTCAATGCAGTTCAATGCAGTTCAAGTTTAGCCCAGAAGGCGGCCAATTACCACCTGAACAGTGGTGTTTGCTTTTTGCAAGCAGTATTTTCGTTTTGAGATATTTCAAAACGCAACAGGCGTGCATGATTGAACATTTTATGCAGCTTAAAAAAATGCAAGTCAGAAATCTAAGTCTTGAGATTCAAATAAAAAAATAGCCTTATGTGTTCAGTTAGGGCTAAACTTCAGAATACCCGGCCACTCATTTACATGTCATTAAATAAGAATAGCGTCTATTGTGTTATGCCTCATTCTTCAAAGCCTCCCGAAAGATGTAAATGATGTGGACGGGTATTCTGAAGTTGCTCCGAATATTGTATTAAAACACTAAAAAGACACTCAAAACCTTCTTTCAGGTTATAATCCGCCGTCTACCTCCATCTCTTACCGAAGAGCAATTGAAAGAAGAACTTGGAGACTTTCCTGAGAATGACTTTTTTTATTTTGTCGGTAGTAACATGAGGTAAGCTGATCTTGGTTAATAACTCAAGGTACTCCTGGGGGGAGGACATCAGCCAAGTGGCTTTATCTTGCAGAACTTACATATATCTTGGTCTCCATAAAGTTAATTCACTTGTAGTTTTCCTACTTCTCTTAATAGAATTCAGGTGTAAACAACATGAACTTTTCATTTTCCAAAAATGCTCTAATTTATATTTATCACTACCATAATTATTTTAATTTGCATCATCCTTTTCACTCTAGTACCATTAGTGATCTGCTTTGATATGGGGTCTATGAGTCTTTTGCATTTCATCTCTTGGCTTCTGTATTTTTTATGCCATAAACTGTGATAAATAAAAAAAATAAGATAAACTATCTTTTCCCCCAACCCTTGAGATATACCCGAAGGATAGAGTTTCAAGTTTTTGATAATCTCCCCATCCTTCCTTCCCCTTATCCTTTAAAGAAATCTCTATTAAGAATGTGGACTTCCTGTTTTTTGTACTAAATGCTGTACAAATGGTTATCTATGAGAGTAGACTTGATCAAAGTTTTCAATAAAATGTGGTATGAATGGGTGGTTTAGAATTGCAGGCAAGGAGATTTGAAGGACTGGTGAGCTTGGGAGTTCCAGGCTTCCCTGGGGATTTGAAGAGTTAGACTCTTGCAGTTGCATTTTCTTCAATTTTAAGGTCGATATTCAATGTATGTTTCACATGAAGTCTACTTATTTGAACAAATTTGGAAGGAATTGGGTAGGCTGTATACTATAAACATGTAGATCTACCTGCTAGTGGCTTACTTGTGAAACCCCCTCTCCCACTCGGCTACTGTTAATGAAACTGGGATAAGCTACCTGGCAGTGAGTCCCACTTCTGTTTACCTTTCCAATTAAAAATGCACTGATCAATACTGATAAAATCTCTTTTGTTGTTTTACTACTATTGAGATAATCTATTTTGTAAGGCTTATGAACTATTTCATGTTGAAATATTTTTACTATTTTTATACAGCTTTGGTCCTATCTCATTTTCAAGAGCATACATCAACTTTAAAAATAGAGATGATATAATCAAGTTCAGAGATCAGTTTGATGGATATTGTTTTGTGGACAGCAGAGGTACACTTAAGAATATCATGTTTCCTGTTTCATTATTGTCTTTTTTTTTTACTGGTATCTGAAAAAAGGGGCCAGTCACTATTCATCAGCTTGTCATATACTATTTCAGTGTTTCAAGCTCTCTGTTACACTAGCCTGTCCAAGCTTGTCTTTGTATATTACTCTCTGGGTCCATCTCAATCTGTTCTGTTGTTATCATTTTGTTTCTGTAAATTACTCTTAAATCTATTCGCTCCGACGAAGGGCTAATGCTTGAAACGTCAGCTTTTATAATCGTAACAGTGGCCAATTTACCATTTCAACTTTGTTGATATATTCAAATTATACTCTGAAATCTGCCTATTTGTCCGTTTGTCTGTCTTCAGCTGAAGTCATTTTGTTGGTCACTTCAATCCCTCAGTCATTTTTCCTATCTTTTGGTGAGGCCGTGGTTCAGTTAGTCACACATTCAATTATCTCATCAGGCAGTTGCTAGTTAAAAACAGTCAATTTGGCACTCAGTGATGCAGGTCTTAAAACAATCCATCACTCACATGATCACTCAGACTGACTGTCAGTGATTGAAATGAATGAAAAAAATGAAAAACTTTATTTAAGTGTCTATGTTTTTACCTATAAGCTAATGGGGGACACTAAAAAATTTAAAAGTCACATACACTTACATATGTAGATGATAGTTATTTACAGTAGATAATTAAAAAGATTATAAAGTTATTTAGTTAAGTTTTAAATTTCAACGAGAGTTGAAAGGTCGACTTTTCTTATGTTCTTCTTGAACGAATTTAGAGTTTCTATCGTTCTTAGGTGTCTTGGTAACTTCGACCAGATGAGAGGTCCCATATATTTAATAGAATTCCTACCAAATCTTACAGTTTCGAATCTTGGCAGTTCAAAGTCACTGTTCTGTAAATTATATAATTGCAAGTCATTTAGACTTTGAACATTTGTTCCAACAGTCATTATGGTGGTGAGAAGCTTACCAGTACTTCTATTTCTTTAACATCAGGTGTAGAATATCCTGCTGTTGTGGAATATGCTCCTTACCAAGCTGTACCTAAAAAGAAAGTCAAAAAAGATACAAAAATTGGAACTATTTTAGAAGGTGTGCACAAGATTTTCTCATGGCTTTTTGGATCACCAAGCATGCATTACATTACTGATCTCTTCATAAAATACAGGATGAGCTTAGTGGGAAATTAGAAGCCAAGAAGCTCTGAGTATTTCTTTTTCAATGCCTCTGGTTCAAATGAGAAAGCAACAGATGATCTCAAATGCTTAAGTCAGAGGTTTCTGTGAACAGAATGACATCATGGCTGAACTGACCAGAAGTGTATGGTGTAATGTGTAGGACAGTTACATATAGAGAAAAAAGATAAGGGGGAAATCAAAACAGAGGCTTTGTTTTGAACACCAAATGGAAAAAGGAAATGATAATGACCTGAATTTCACGGAGATGGAGTACTGGTAGCACAAACCAGTCCAAAAGGTGGAATACTGTGAAAGCCCTATGCATTGCTATTTAGTTCTTATTAACCGAGTGGGAGTTCTGTATAGGAGAATCTTGACCGAGGTCGCCAGTACAGACCGAACACAGTGAGGTCTGTACCAGCGACGGAGGTCAAGATTCTCCCATACAGACCAACCTAGCTCAATTAATAAGATGTCTATTATATGGCTGTGTCTTATATGCCAATTATTTATATTCTTTGTCCTTTTTTTTCTAGACCAGTCTAGATACCGGTCTAGATGGGAAAATCTAGACCGCTTTCAATTTGATTTCAGCCAATCAAATTCGTGTATTCGGTAGTTCCTAGTCCTTGTGAGACACAGCCACATAATAAAAAGAGCTAAAAAAAAACAATGATTCTGTTAAATTAATGCTATTTACCAGCAATTTTCTCTAATTTTTTATATCATCATTAGATCCTGACTACAAGGCTTTCCTGGAATCACTAAACAAGGATGAAGAACCTCCCCCAAGTGTTGAGGCTCATTTGGAGGAGATTGAAGCTAAGAAATGTAGAAACATTGTTTTATTATACGACTCGGGCAGTCAGAGGGCTAATAACTAAAATCAACCAATCAAAATGCTCTATTGCTGGTCAATATTCTCTCAGTATTGGACCGGGCACTGTCCCAAATGGTCCTGAGTGATACTGCACTTGTGTCCCTTTGAACTTCAGTCGTATAATAAATCTCTTATTAACCAAGCTTGCTTGGGACCATACTGGAAGAATATCGACCCTCTGTCTTTTTTGTACGGACTGAGTGCAGCTCAGACCTCGGGCCGATATTCTCCCAGTACGGCCCTCGCACTTGGTTAATAAGATATATTTATTTGTCATCTTAGAAGTAGAGATAGAGACTTGTTATCGACATCTTAAAAGTGGAATTTAGGGATTGATTAACGTGTATGCATATGAAATTTCAATTATTACAAGACTCATCATATACATAGACATCATAATCATAAACGTTATTTCATCTCGAATTTTAGAGTAGCTTGTTGGAGCTAATATATTCTAGAAAACATAAAATGGAGATTATCCATATATATTATCCACATATATTCATGTCATCAACATCTTAAAAGTGGAATTTAGGGATTGTTTAAGTTGTATTAACGTGCAATTTTTCTTATCACTAGCTTCATCCAGTGCAGCAAAGAAGACTACCCCACTCCTGGAGTACTTAAAGATGAAGCGGAGTCCACGCGGAAGACCCATGTCATCTGTAAGTACAATAAGTGACAGGAACATTTCCACTGAAATGTCCAATAAAATCAATTCATTTTCACAATCCTTCTAGCTCATGTGCCAAGAGCTTTACTATATACTGTAAATGCTCAGATAAGTCCTCTTCTAGGCTGTACAGTAAACCCCCACCCCTCTGCCCTAAGTTATCAGTCTCTGACAGGCTACCGCTCTCTATACGTTTCCATCCTTTCCTCTCCTCCCAAGCAAACTCTACATGTATCAAGAACTTTACTCTGTACTGCAAATGCTCTGTTAAGTCCTCTTCTAGGCTGCATAGTAAACCCCACACCTCTGCCCTAAGTTATAAGTTTCTGACAGGCTCACACTCTCTGATACGTATATATCCTTCCCTCTTC